ACGAATTTCATTCAATATTACCGAAACCAAAGTTCAAAATGTATTTTGGGAATATATAATATTGAAATTTTAGTCTAAATGGAGTTCAGGTATATTATTAACAGCCGATCGGAGGTTGCACACTTCGTTTACATATATAATGCTGAAGTCTTGAAATTTTTCGGAAGATGGAAAATATATATTATACTCTAAACTTCAGACTGGCATTCAAGTTATAAATTATGTTGACGTGTGTTAAGAACTCGCCCAGATCCCAGTTCTTATATAGAAGACAAGCGCTGTTGAAAAGGGAAATTCTCAAATTTCGATCACGGTGCAATTTAAACAGACAGTAGCCGTGAGAACAAACGGTTACATCCACAACTGGCTGGTTAAATTACCATTAAAGATTCAAACAAAGAAAAGAACATTATAAGTGATGGAGGGTGGTTAAGTACATAGTTAGATTGTCATGTTTCACATCTCTGTCAATTATATTAACATTTACTTGGTATTGGATGCCTTTCCATAATACATACTTGCGTTAAAATATGGTCCCCAAAGCTTTAGTTTCTTTAAACATTACAAGAAACGCATAATTAAATTCAAAACATTTTTCAAATCTTATAATACAGCGATGGCTCCTCAACTACGTTTTAAATTGTGCGATTGGCAATAATTATTGCTGTAAATATTTTTAAAGCGCATTTTCTCACAGATTTATAAATTCAAACGCTACTATCTACGATATGCCAATACTTAAAATTTGGTATTTTACATATTTGTGAACCAAGATGTTCTTGATAAAATCATCTAAGTTGATGTCAATTATACAAACATACATATTTTACAGTGCAAATGGTTTATCTAACTATAGAAGAGTCAAGCGGATACGATTCGTTAGAGAAATAAAAACTCCAATAAATCGCTCAACTTGCAACTAAAAATATCAATTTAACTAGCACTAACCTAAACTTACATCTATACCTCCCCTTTATACCTTAAGGCATTATAACTCAAATTTCCCTCTTCATCACAATCATCAGTCTCAATGAAACCACCGCCTAGCCGTTGTCTTTAACGTTCAATCATTTCTTTATTATACTATCGAAGTCAACCTTGGCACCAAAAGCCGCATTAGCAGTACGTCTTGAGAGAAATACTTTTCCATTTTTGATATAGTCTCCACATGCATGATTGACTTCGTAAGGAACTTCCTCTATGCCTTTGCAATCACCTTTACACTTTCCGTTCTCTTTCTTTTCACATTCTGGTATGCCATTTGTTGTAAAAACATTATTTTTAACACCATTTCGAGACTTTTGGTATTCCTCTTTAATTTCTCCTTCCGGATCTTTTCCTTTCTTGTAGCTTTTAGTATAGAAATTAAGGAATAATAACAGAAAGATGGTAACATTTGCTGATATGAAATATGTAAATCCAGTTGCGTATTGACAGCGGGGAGAGAAGTATGTCCATGCACAGTATAATAACATCAATACGAATTGAAACTGAAAGAAAAGAAAAATTAACAAACTTAATATCAATGTTTGTTTTGTTTGTTTGTTTTGATGGCCTCCTTGGTCGAGTGACTTGCATACCGGTTTTCACGGTATCGCCATCTCTGATATCCCGGGTTCGATCCCCAGCCGGGTTAATGTACAAAACTTTTCTATGTTGTCTCTGGTCTAGGTGTTTGTGGTACCGTTGTTGTTTCCGATTTCCATAACACAAGTGCTTTAGCTAGTTACTTTGGGATCAGAACAACGTACGTGTCCAATATTACTTTGTTTATTACTTACTTGTTTGCTGTAGATTTCACGAGAAATACAAACATTTATGTATTGTGCAATCTCATTCTATTGAAGCATGATACCGGGTAACAATTATACATATCGTCGCATATGTTACAACAGTAAAATCGAGTAAAAAAATCTAATGGGAATTGCTGTCAGAATAATCTATTTATAATATTATGCAACTATTGTTACGTGTTACATGTTGCTTGCTGCACTTTACGATTTACAAAATGCGAGTAACCTCAAAAACCACAGTTACATGAATTGTTTGAAGATCACATCAACCTACTTTCACATTCATTTGGCAACCTTGTAACAAACTAATAACTTATCATTCAGGCTGTATGTTATAATTACTGCCTTCGCTGATGTTTTAAACAGTATGTTGTTACTTTTTCATCATTGGCTTAGTTTTATAAAAAAATAAGTATATCGACGCTAGAAAGGAATTTTGTCGTATCTCGAAAAATTGAGAAAACTACTTTTTACAATATTTGGAATCAGAAAAACAATCCGCATTGGCTGGTCCAGGTGTCGTGATGCTACGACGATTTTATTATACGACGTCGATATTAAAATTTGACGAAACACACAAAAATTTGAATAGAACTTTACAAGTTCGAGATACGTCAAGATTTCTTTTCCTTTCCTTTCCTCTTGTTCTTATTTATGTTTGATTCGTATTTGATGTGGCTCATTTTCATTAATAACTTGTTACTCAACGAATCTACTTTATTTGCATTCATGTAGACCCTATTGACCACTTGGATCTCGTCCGGTCAGATTTTACTACAATTAACTTTAGTTTTTATAATCTCTGGTTATTAAGTAATAGTTAAGATTTGACGATTGAATTACGGATTAATTTCAGTACGGAGTATTAAAAAACCGACCTCAAAAGGTCGTGGAATTACATCTATTTGTCAAGTTTTATTGAAAACGGTTGCCAAAAAGTGCGCTAAATCTGATTTATCCCCTAGTTTGCCACTCTTAGAGGTGGAATATTTTCTTCAAATTTAAAGGAGACCACTACTGAGGCACTGTCTTCCCAACAAAAAGAGAATCATCAAAATCGGTTCACAAATGCCGGAGTTATGGCTTAACATACATACAAGAAATACCGACGAAATGAGAACCTCAATTTTTTTTTGAAGTCGGTGAAAAACCTATATACAATTAGTAATTAAAAATATCAACACGAAGATACCCGAAGAAGCGAATTTTTATGGACTATATGTTGATTTTGTAACGTACAAACTAGACTCGAGTCCAAATATCATGTCCTGCGTTTTCCGGAGAATACCCATGCAGTTTCGGAAATTTCAGAAGCTACCGTATTGTATCTAGTTTGTACAATACACCATTGATACAAAGTTCATAATGCTTTGTACAATTTCGTTACTAAAATTCGCCTCAAATCTGTTCCGCGGCAATTTGAATTGTTAAAACGAATAACAAATGCAAATAATATTAGCACTTGGCCAAAAAATCGAAAGGTACATAATAGTGCGAAAAACAAAACTACCAACTACCTAATGTTACAAAATAATCTAAAAAGACGCAAAATTCAAAGTTGCTTAAAATCCATTTGATTGATAATGAAAAATCAAATCTGTAATATTTTTTTTGTATGTATGTTACGCGATAACTCCGGTTTTGACGATTCTTTTTTTGTTGGAAAGAGTGTACCGCAGTATTGGTCGTTTTTGAGGTCGGTTTTTTATGTACTCCAAATTGTTACTCGAAACCTAGTGTGTATGTAGTAACCTATAAGTGGATGTTGCCTAGTTATTGACGATCTATGTAATCCATTTCACTGCCTTTTTAGTCTAACGGCGCGCTGATATGGTCATTTAAATATACCCTCATCAACAAAACAAAACGGCACTATTGTCGAAAATTATTTAAAAAAAATATTGTTGACCCGGTTTTTTATTTTTGTATGGCAGACAATTGTTATTTGTTGGATATGCAGCACACTCCATTTGTAGTGTAGTAGTATATTTAAAATTTAATGTTTAGCTCTCATAGAGATAAATTCTAAAAAGGCAAACGATGTACTTCAGAAATTGAGTAATTTGGACACACCCATCGTTCAAACAAACAATATTTTTCATGTAGGAAATTAAACTATTTTTCCGGATTCAAATCGCGTACATATGTTTTTTCAAACACACCAACGTCAGCAGTGAGTACTAAAAGGGCCCGAAACTTTAGGTCATTTGAAGTATATGTGTATAATATCACGGAGAGTGTGCGATGGAATTGCATAATTTGATTCCGCCTTCCCCTTCCCATCATAGGGGGACTAGGTGTATGCTGGGGATCAACCCCTATGTTGTGGATATTTCAAGGATTCACTCGAAACCTTTCGCTTACACATTTATATCGCGAACGGCTATGGAGTGGAATTCCCTGCCTGCAGACTTGTTCCCTGAACATTATAACTTGGACCCTTTTTGGCGAGAGTGAATAGACATTATTTAGGTGTGCGTGTGTGTGTCGACCTCATCGTCACTTTCCACCAGGTGAGATGGAGGTCAAATGCGCAGTTAGTTTTATAAAAAAAGAAAAAAGATCGGAATTAAATAGTTTCGCTTTCTATTTCCAACGTCACAGTTGGATGCTGATAAGCAATAACGTGTCAACCACATGATCATAATTTTGCAAAAATGGCACCAAAACATGTTTTAGTTATTTTTGTTAACTTGTTCTAAAATTTACTTATAAATTGAAAACTTTTGCTACATTTTAGGAA